GGGGGGGGCCCCGGGGAGGGGGCCCCCGGGGAGGGGGGCCCCGGGCTAGGGCCCCCCGTAGGTGGGGACGCCAGCAGCAGCGGAGCAGCAGCACTCGGGGGGGCCCCCCCCGGCGAATCTGCAAAGGCACTTGGGGGGCCCCCCCAGCTCGACGCAGAACTCCCACTGGGGGCCCCCGGGGGGCCCCCCACCCGCGAGCTCTGCTGCAGCACCCCGGGGGGCCCCTCCCCAGACCCAGCTCGCTCAGGACCCTCCAATCCAGGGGGCCCCGGGGGCCCCGGGGGGCCCCCCAAGGGGGGCCCCTCTGCTGCCACCGAAGTCTCGCTGTCTCGAGGGGTCTCAGGCACTGGAGAGGGGGCCCCCAAAGGCCCCACAACCCTGTACCTGGGGACAAGGGTTGAGTGGGTGGAACTGTGCCCAGGGGCCCCCCGGGGGCCCCCCAGGGGCCCCAGAGAGATGCTGCCCAGGCTGCTGCTGGAGGGGGCCCCCTTGGCAGCACGATTAGCCACGGAGCTGCTTCTTGAAGGAAGCAAAGAAGCCTCTGAGTCCCCCTCAGCAGCAGCAGCAGCAGCAGCAGCAGCAGCAGCAAGGGGAGAGTGCTTCGGGCGAGAAGGCATCTTCACAGGTCCGCAGCAGCAAGTCGAGTCCGTCCCTGCTGCAGCAGCTGCAGCAGCTGCAGCAGCTGCTGTTGCTGCTGCTGCGGGCGCGCTCCCAAGGCCTCAGCAGCAGACACAAACGAGGCAGCGACCTGCCTTCCCATTTAAAATGAGGGCTGCTGCAGGGCCACCACGCGGCTGGGAAGACACTGCGCTGCACAGCCTGCTGCTGCTGCTGCTGCTGCTGCTGCTGCTGCTGCTGCTGCTGCTGCAGCTCGTTGCGAGCGGCTAGCGCTGCTGCGGCGGATCTTCCCGGTCAAGAAGCTGCGCAAATGAGCTGAAGAGTGCGGCATGAACACCAGCAGCAGCGGAGGGCGCTGCTGCTGCTGCCGCTGCTGCTGCGGGTCGTGCGGCTCCAGCAGCTGCTGCTGCTTCTGCTGCCGCGCTAGTCGCTGCTGCTGCAGCCGCTGCTGTACACTCTGGCCGCCGCCTCGGCTTCCTAGCTAAAGGTTTCAGTCTTGGGGAACTCAGGGGCCCTGCGGAAGTGGGTAAAGGATCTGCTGCTGCAGCCGCTGCTGCTGCTGCTGCTGCTGCTGCTGCGGCTGTAGCAGGGCCGACCCCCAGCAACGAATACTGCAAGAGCAGCAGCTTCCAAACGCACCTTACGGGTTCCCCTCTTCTTATGAGCCTCAAAATGATAAACTTTATTTTAAAAAACAAACTGAGGGCACATAAAGGAACACATTTAGTTCGTGCGGCCTCTCCCAGTGGTCCACGGGCTCTAGGCGACCTGCTCCTGCAGCAGCAGCAGCAACTGCTGCTGCTGCTTCGGCGGCGGCGGCGCTGCCCGTAGCCGCTGCTCCTGCAGCAATAAATTTCTAGTTATTTTGAAATCTGGCTAAAATTGTGTCTCTTTTTATTAAATTAAACTAAAACAAACGCAAAAACGGGGGCTTCCAGACGCGGCAAGTGGGTGCCGCTCACGAGACCCCGGAACAGATCTTGCTGGTGCTGCTGGTGTTCATGCCGGTGGTGCTGCTGTTGCTGCTGCTGTTGCTGCTGCTGCTGTTGCTGCTCCGCCTTACTTTGCAGCTTGTGTTGCTGCTGCTTCTGCTCCTGCCGAGGCCCCTGCGGCTGCTGCTGCTGGTGACATTGGCGCTGCTGCCGCTGCTGCCGCCTCGACTTTTCGCTGCGTGCGGCCGCCCCGAAGGCGCGCAGCAGCAGCAGCAGCCGCAGCAGCAGCAGCAGCAGCAGCACTAGCAGCAACGAGCTGCCTAGGCAAAGCGCTGCGGCCCAGGGGCCTCCAAAGACACAGCAGCGGAAGACACAGAAAGCGCTGCTGCTGCACACAAAACCCCCCATCTGGGGTCCTTAGTTGCTGCACTTGCTGCTGCTGCTGTAGCAGCTGCTGTGGGGTGCTGCAGTGCTGCTTGGAGTCGCGGAAAACCCTCAAGGGTTTAGGGTTTGGGGACCCCTAGAGGCCCAGCTGCTGCTGCCCTCGCTTCACCGGGCTGCTACTTTGCTGCTGCCGCGCTGCTGCTGCCGCGCTGCTGCTGCCGCGCTGCTGCCGTGGCCGTGCTTCTACTGCTGCTGCTGCTGTTGCTGCTGCTGCTGCTGCTGCTGCTGGCGATCGCCTGTGGGAAGGTTTTGCTGGGAAACTGCAGCCCTTCTATGTCCTTAAGACACAACTAGCACTGTGGCTGCTGCTGTGCTGCTGCTGCTGAGCTGCTGCTGCTGTGCTGCTGCTGCTGCTGCTGGCCCCGCTGTGGGGCCCCACCAGGCAAGAAAACCTGAGGGGGCCCCTACGAGAAAATTGCTTGCAAGGGTCTCTGCAGCAACTGCGAACTTTGCTGCTGCTCGTAGCAGCAGCCCGCTTTGGGGGGCCTCCACTCGGGGCCTGTTTCAGGCCAAGTGCCTGCTGCTGCGCCTCCAGCTGCGAGCAGCAGCAGCAGCAGCAGCAGCAGCAGCAGCAGCAGCAGACGCGGCAGGGCAACGGCTCAGCTGAGACAGCTGCTGGACCTTACTGCTGCAGCCTCCAGACAAGGAGGGCCTGCTGCTGCGCCTAGCGGCAACTAGCTTACAGCAGCAGCAGCAGCAGCAGCAGCAGCAGCAGCAGCAGCAAAGCAGCAAAGAAAGACTTTGGCTGAATCCTCAGGCCGATAGTCTTTAAGCCACTTCAAGCCTTTAGGGCCCCCAGGGCCTCTAGTTGGCCGTGGGGCCCCTGGGGCCCCTGGGGCCCCCGGGGCCCCTAAACTCTGGGGGCCCCGAGGGCCCTTAGGGGCCCCCATGGCCCCCATGCTCTAGGGCCCCAAGGGCCTAGGGGCCCTGGGGGGCCCCCCCTTTACGCTGCTGCTGCAGCAGGGGGCCCCGGCGGGGCCCCACAGGCCTTTCTGGGGCCCCGGGGGGCCCCCACAGATGTTGTGGGGCCCCTGGGGGGCCCCACAACATTTGTGGGGCCCCATTTTTGCCAGTAACTAGGGTGTAGGCCGGAGCTGCGCAGCAGCAGCCGCTGCAGCAGCAGCCGCTGCAGCAGCAGCTGCAGCGAGGGAGAGAAAGAAGACACACAAAAGGAAAAAACGGAAACAAAAAAACTAAAAAAAGAAAAAGTTGAGAGAGATAAACAAAAAAATAGAAAATGACTCTGGGGGCCCCCTCAGAGGCCCCCATTCTAGGGCATTTAAGGGGCCCCAGATTGGCCCCAAGGCCTTGTGCTGCAGCAGCAGCAGCCGCAGCAGCTGCTGCAGCAGCAGCCGCAGCAGCTGCTGCAGCAGCAGCCGCAGCAGCAAGCAGCGAGTTGCTGCGACTCGCTGGGGGGCCCCCCGGGCCTGTTGGGGGGCCCCCAGCCTGGGGCTAGGGGGCCCCCCGCAGCAGCAAAAAGGCCTTTGGCTGCGCGGGGCCCTCCCTTTCGTGGGGCTTCGCAGGGTACAGACCCAAGACTTCCAGTATATCCTCTTCTGCAGCACAGGGTACTAAACCCTCCACAAGGGGGGCCCCCAGGAGGCCCCCCTGCCCCCGGGGGCCCCCCAGGGGCCCCCCTCGGAGGGCCCCCAAGGGGGCCCCCTGGGGGCCCCCCGCGGCGGCCCCTGGGGAGGCCCCCGGGGGGGCCCCCCCGGGGGCCCCCCCGGGGGCCCCTACGGGGGCCCCTATGGAGGCCCCGTGGGGGGCCCCCGGGGGGGCCCCCCGGGGGCCCCCCTGGAGGACGTAGAGGCCCCTGTCGTCGAGGGAAAAGCCCTGTTTTTTGGCCCAGCAGCGGCAGCTTCTGTTGAAGACAGAACTGCCAGTGAAGTAAAGCAAAGAGGGGCCCCTCATGCTTTCAGGATAAGTTTTTAAGTCAATTCTGCGGGGGCTGAGGGGCCCCTGCCAGGCGCGGGCGCAGCAGGGGCAGCCTGCTGCTGCTGCGCTGCAGAACGCCAGGCCTGCTGCTGCTGCAGCGCACCGCGGGGGCCCCCCAAAGCTCCCGCTGCTGCTGCTGCTGCTGCTGCTGCTGGGCCAAGGCGGCCAGCAGCAGAAGCCAAAGTAGCCCTCACACGTTCCTTTCAGCTTGCCTGTGAGAGGAATGACACGGGGAGCAGCAGCAGCAGCAGCAGCAGCAGCAGCAGCAGAGGGCATCGGAGGATCCCCAACGCTACTGTCTGAGCCTTCGTCGGTGTCACTTGCTGCGGCTGCTGCTGCTGCTGCTGCTGTGTCTGCTGCTGCAGCTGCTGCTGCTGCGTCGCTCGCTGAGGAGCCCTCCTTGTGCATCTTTTTGTACTGCAGGTCTTGCACAATGAGGCCATGCCGCCGCAGCAGCTCAACCACTCTGCGCAGCAGCAGCAGCAGCAGCAGCAGCAGCAGCAGCAGCAGCAACGCCATCAGCAGCAGCAGCGGCAGCAGCAGCGACTTAACACGATCATGCAGCCAGATAATGGACGCACTGACATTACAGCAGCAAGCGGCAGCGCGCCACTGCCAGCCCGACAGCAGAAACAACAGCAGCAGCAGCAGCAGCAGCAGCAGCAGCGGCTGCGGCAAATACCGTTAGCAGCACTGCAGCAGCAGCAAACCCAATCAGAAGCAGCAAGGGAGGAAGAAGCAGCAGCAATTCCCTCAGTGTTGCCTGCAGGCCCCAGCTGCCATGCTCGAAGCCCTAAACCCCCGGCTAAAAGACCTAAACCCTAAACCCTAAACCCTAAACCCTAAACCCTAAACCCTAAACCCTGCAGCTCACTTGAATATGATTTTAGGGTCTTTGCAGCTGTCTCCTTTAATCAGCAGCATATCTATATCTCCGCATTCGCTGCGGCCTCTTCTGTAGCTGCCGCAGCAAATCACTTCCATTATCTCCAGCAAAAACTCAGGCCTGCTGCTGCTGCTGCTGCTGCTGCTGCTGCTGCTGCTGCTGCCGCTGAAGTAGCTGGCGCATGAGGTTCCACAGCAACGGCAGCAAAGGCAGCCAGTGCTTGCATCTCCGCCGTTGCTGCTGCAGTTGCTGACGCCGCTGCCGCTGCTGCTGCTGCAGTTGCTGCCGCTGCTGCTGCTGCTGCTGCTGCTGCTGCAGGGGCTATGGAGCAGCAGCCGCTGCAGGAAGGCAGCAATTGCTGCCACTTCAGCTCGAGGGATTTTCAAGTTAAGGGCCTCAGCGTAGCGCAGCCCCACAGCTTGCTCGCCGCGGAGGGGAAAGGCAGCAGCAGCAGCAGCAGCAGCAGCAGCAACAGCAGCAACAGCGGCTTCTTCTCCGGCTGCTGCCGCTGCTGCTGCAGACGTCGAGGAAGCAGCAGCAAATTTGGCCAGGGGCCCCAGGGGCTCGGGCTTGCCGCTGAAAGCGCCGGCAGCCTTCGTCTGCTGCAGCTGCTGCAGCTGCTGCAGCTGCTGCAGCTGCTGCTGCAGCTGCTGCAGCTGCTGCTGCTGCTGCCTGAGGGAGTGGAGCGTGTGCCCCTTGGCGTGCAGCAGCCTGGCAGTCTTGGGGCCCACGCCGAAAATGAGCTGCAGCTGCTGCTGCGCTGCTGCTGCTGCTGGGTCTTGCTGCAGCAGCGCCATTCTGCTGCTGCTGCCTCTAGCAGCAATTTCCTGAATTGTTGCAAAGACAGAAGGGCCCACTCCGGGGAGGCCCCGAAGCAGGTGGAGGTTGCTGCGCGTCAGTCCCTGCTTCAGTGCAGCAGCAGCAGAGAGCCCGCATGCAGCAGCAACAACAGCAGCAGCTCTGCGGAAGCCGCTGGCCCTCCATGTTTCTCCCTGCTGTTCATACACCTCAGCCAGTTCTCTCAAGCCCTTCACCACCACTGCAGTCAGACTGGGCGCTGCTGCTGCTGCTGCTGCTGCTGTTGCTGCTGCTGCTGCTGGGGGTTCTGCTGCTGTTGCTGCTGCTGCTGCTGCTGCTGCTGGAGGTTCTGCCGTTGCTGCTGCTGACGCCAGCAGGGACGGAGCAGCTGCTTCTTCTTTTCCAGCTGCTGCTGAGGTGAGTGCAGCAGCAGCAGCAGCAGCAGGAGCAGCAGCAGCAAGAGCAGCGTGCGGCTCTGATGCTGGTTCTCTTACTGTTGGTGAAACAGTGTGAGCACTCAGTGAGACCTGCTGCTGCTGCTGCTGCTGCTGCTGCTGCTGCTGCTGTTCTCCCTTCCGTCTCTTTGGCATGTTTGCGTCGATGCTGGTGGCTGAATGCAACGCGAACTGAACTGCTGCTGTTGCTGCTGCTGTTGCTGCTGCAGCTGCTGCTGCCGTTGGTGTCGATAGTGGTGCTGTTACTGCTGTTGCTGCTGCTGCTGCTGCTGCTGCTGGCTGCGAACACGCTGCTTCGCTTTTGTGGGGTCTCTCATCAACACTTGCTGCCTGCAACGCATTTGCTGCGCCTTGCTGCACCAGCCGCTGCTGCTGCTGCTGCTGCTGCTGCTGAGGCGAAGCGGCAGCAGCAGCAGAAGCAGCAGCAGCAGAGGCAAACGCTGCAGCAGCTGCAGTCTTGAGCAGCTGCGGCGTTTGGGGGCGCTGTAGGCAAGCTGCTGTTAAAGACACGCCAACTATCTCGGGCTCATCGTCTGACGATTCTGCTGCTGCTGCTGCTGCTGCTGCTGCTGCTGCTGCTGCTGTTGCTGCTGCTGCTGCTGCTGTTGCTGCTGCTACCCGTGTTTCACCGCCCCACTGCGTGCCTTGCGAGGCCCTCTTCATCTTGTTGCGAGGGGCCCCTGAGGGGCCCCCCAGCTGCTGCTGCTGTTGGCTGCTGCTGCCGCTGCTGCAGGTGGTTGTGAGGCCGCAGAAGAGCTGCAGCAGCAGCAGCAGCAGCAGCAGCAGCAATTGCAGCAGGGGCCCCTGAGTGGGTACTTGTGGGCCCAACGCAGCAGTTCAGGGGCCCCCAGACCTGGGGGCCCCCCTACTGGGCAGAGCGGCGGCGAGGGCCCCCAGCAGCAGCAACTGTGGGGCCCCTGCAGCAGCAACTTTGTTAATTAAACATTATATTGAAAATAAAACATATTTTGCATGCAGCAGGGGGCCCCCAGGGCCTCCCCCAAGACAGGGGCCCCCAGTGCCCCCCAGGGTCACCTGGGGGCCCCCCAAGACCCAGCTGCAGCGCCAAAGGCCCGCGGGGGGCCCCCAGCCGAAGCTATTTGCTGCTGCAGCAAGAGCCCCTCAAAGGCAGCAGCAAAAGAGCTGCCAGCTTGTGGGGGCCCCCGCAGCACATATAAGTGGGGCCCCCAGGGGGGCCCCCATAAAGGGGGCCCCCAAGGGGCTGCACAGGGAGCCCCGTGGGTTACAACCGTGCCCTGAGAGGGCAGCAGCAGCAGCAGCAGCAGCAAAAGTAGCAGCAGCAGCAGCAGCAGCAACAGAGGCAGCAGCCCTCTGGAGAGGGCACTTCTCAGACTAATTGGAGTGTATGTACACTGCGTGAAATTAAACACTCAAAAAGCGGTTTCTAAAGGCTCCATGCTGAGGTGTACGTACACCTCAAAAGAGGCGGCAAAACGCCTTATTTTCAGGTGTATGTACACCTGAGAAGCAAAACTCGTTTTGTTTGCTTTTGGGCTCTTTTGCATGCATTAAATAGGTGTCTAGACACCTCAGGCCAGCTACTGAGGCACGCTGCAGCAGCAGCAGCAAAGAGCAGCAGCAGCAGCAGCAGCAGCCACGATGAACCGCAGCTACAGAAGGCAGCAGCAACATACTGCAGCTGCAGCAGCTGCAGCAGACATTGAAAGCCACTATAGCGAGCAGCAGCAGCAGTCTGCAGCAGCAAGGCACTGCTGCAGCCAACTCCCCAACCTCTGCTGCTCCTACAGACATTGCGCTCTTTTGCTGCTGCTGCTGCTGCTGCTGCCGTAGCTGCTGCTGCCCCAGCGACAGCAAACTGCGCTGCTGAAGCTGCGTCCACAGCAGCAGCTGCAGCAGTTTCTGCTGCCACAGCAGCAGCTGCAGCAGTTTCTGCTGCCACTGCAGCAGCAGATGCTGCTGCAGCAGCTTTGGCTTCTTGCTCTGGGTACAGGGGCCTTAAGCTGCTGCTGCAGCCCCTCACCTGCAGCCTCCCGTGTCCCTGCTGCTGCTGCGGGTCCCCTCCTGTGCTGCTGCTGCTGCTGCTGCTGCTGCTGCTGCTGCGCTGCAGACAGCTTTTGCCACAGCAACAACCACCCGGTTCGTCAGCAGCTGCAGCTCCGTCAGCGTAGAACAGTGGGGGGTTTGCTTGGGGGGCCCCCAGCGGGGGCCCCCCAGGGGGCCCCCCAGGGGGGCCCCCAGGGGGGCCCCCGGGGGCCCCTCAGCTGCACTGTGGAAGGCCTCCAGGAGGGCCTCGCTGCGCCGCCGCTGCACCCAGGCCCACAGGGCACAGCTGCTGGAGCCCGAGAGGGCCCCCAGGAGGCCCCACCTTAGGGCCATTTGGCAGTTCTGGGGGCCCCTGGGGGCCCCTGGAAGCAGGGCTGGGGGCCCCCGGGGGCCCCTGCAGGGCCTGGCTTGGACTGTCGCCACAAAGGGGTACCCAGGGGCCCCCTGCAGCGAAGGAGCAGGGGCCCCCGGGGCCCCCTGCTGGGTACTGCGGGTCGGCGGGGGCCCCCGCAGCAGCAAAGAGGCGACAAGGGCTGCTCAGGGGGCCCTTTTTGTGTCTAAAATGGTAAATTAAATTTAATTTTGAGTTTTAATTCGAAAATTCGAAAAAAAGATCCAATAGACAGCCCGGTGTCTCGCATGCAGCTGGCGAGGCAGCAGCCGCAGAGCCCCGCAGCAACGCAGCAGCAGCAGTTCTTCGGCTGCTGCAGCTGCTGCTGCAGCTGCCTTCAGCTTTATCTAAATTTTGAATAAAAATTTAAATAATTAAAATTTTAGCAAGACACTTTCGGGGGTCCTCAGGGCTAACACGCAGCAGCAGCAGCAGCAGCTGTAGCTGCTGCCGCTGCAGCAGAGCTAGCTGCAGCAGCAGCAGCTCTAGCAGGCCATGAGGCACACTCTGTAGTCTTTGCTGCTGCTGCTGCTGCTGCTGCTGCTGCAGCTGCCTGCGCTGTCAATGTTTCTAAAGGGGGCCTGCATGTCTTGTGGACTTGTGTGCAGCAGCTGCTGCTGCCAATGAGGTGCTGCTGCCTTCGCTGCTGCTGCTGCTGTTGCCTATGCTGCTGCTGCTGCTGCTACTGCGTTTGCTGCTGCTGCTGCTACACTTGCTGCTGCTGCTGCATATTCTGCTGCTGCGGCTACTTTGAGTCGGCTGTGACCTTGAGCTGCTGCAGCAGCGCAGCAGCCTCATGGGGGTTCGGTGCTGCCTGCAGCAGCAGCGACCTGAGCTTGCTGACGGCCTGCTGCTGCTGCTGCAGTTTCGCTGCCTCTGCTGCTGCTGCTGCTGTTGCTTCTCCCCACTCCCGCGTCAGGGCCACGCGCTGTGCCTGCAACAGCAGCAGCAGCAGCACAGCAGCAGCAGCAGCAGCAACACAGCAGCAGCAGCAGCAGCAACACAGCAGCAGCAGCAGCAGCAGCACAGCAGCAGCAGCAGCAATTAGCAGCACGAAATCAATCTTTCCATGAAAACAACAAAAGATGAATAAGACGATATAAATGAAAAGCAGCAAACGAGTAAATGCAGCAAACCAAAAAGAAGCAAACGAATTAAAACAAGTAAATAATTAAATTAAATTAAATTAATTAAATCAAATTAATTAAATAAATTAAATAAATTAAATTAAATTAATTAAATAAATTAAATAATTAAAAGACAAAGACACACCTCCTGCTTCTGCGCCTCAGCAGTCAGCCGCTTTCTTTCTTCTTCGAGAACTCGAGCAGCAGCAGCACAAAGAGGCCTCCTGTACACAACCTTCACCCTGCTGCTGCTGCTGCTGTTGCTGCTGCTGCTGCTGCTGTTGCTGCTGCTGCTGCTGCTGCTGCTGCTAGTGCTGCTGTTGCTGGCGCTGCTGGCGGCAGCTGCGTGCTCGCCGTCGCTCTGCGCCCCCTGCTGCTGCTGCTGCTGCTGCTGCTGCTGCTGCTGCTGCGGTGCTGCGGCTGTGGCTGGTGCGGGGCTTTTTGCCGTCGCTGCTGCTGCTGCTGCTGTCGGACGGTCAGGCGGCCGCTCTTGCTGCCGCTGCTGCTGCGGCTGCTGCTGTTCTGCGGCAGGCTGCGGCTTTTGCTGCTGCTGCTGCCGCTGCTGCTGCTGCTGCTCGTTGAGGTGTTGCTGCTGCTGCTGCAGGCTGCAGCTTTTGCAGCAGCAGCAGCAGCACGCGTGGCTCCCCAGACTTCAGCAGCTACAGACACTCTGCTGCACTCACGGGGTCCCGCTGCTCCTTGCGCCTGCAATGGCTGCAGCAGGAAGGGTTTAGGGTTTAGGGTTTAGGGTTTAGGTTTTTAAATCTGGGTTTATTTCAGTGGAATTCTACAAACTCCTGCTGCAGAGCAGCCCGAGGGTACCTTGAGGGGCCCCGGAGGCCTCGGCGGGGCCCCCGATCTTGGCTTCTCAGCAGCAGCAGCAGCAGCAGCAGCAGCTGCTGCTGCTGCTGCTGCTGCTTCAAAATACCCACAAAATCAGCAAATTTTGCTTTCTTTGGCTGCTCCGGGAAATGCCTACTTTGCCGTACACTGCTGCAGTGGGGCCCTTCTCTAGACTCGAGTGGTCCATAAGCTCGAACCCAGCAGCAGCAGCAGCAGAAAGAGCAGCAGCAGCAGCAGCAGCAGCGCAGCAAGTGAAAAGGCTCAAGCAAGAAGGAATACAGTAGTGGCAGGGACTTTGGGGGCCTCAGAGCTGCCGCTGCTCCATTTGCTGTCGGCAGCAGGCCCGAGTGCAGCAGCTGCAGCAGCAGCAGCGGCAGCGGCAGCCACTGGGCGAGCAGCAGCAGCTGCTGCTGCAACAGCAGCAGCGCTTCAACTGGCAGCAACAGCAGCACCTGCGTTTCGACCAACAGCAGCAGGAAGAGCTGCAGCAGCAGCTGCAGCATCAGGGGCATCGTCAGCTCCACTCCACACGTTCTGCAGCAGCAGCTGCGCCTTCCTCACCTCCCGCAGCAACCACAGCAGCAGCAGCAGCAGCAGCAGCAGCAGCACGCCTCACCCCTACGGAGCCCTCCGCTGCTGCCCACCCCTCCCAGCTCCAGCAGCCGTCGCACCAGCAGCAGCAGCAGCAGCAGCAGCAGCAGCAACAGCAGCAGCAGCAGCAGCAGCAGCAGCAGCAGCAGCAACAGCAGCAGCAGCAGCAGCAGGGGGCGTGAGTGTGTGCTGCAGGCAAGTGCCAGTGCCGTTGCCGCGGCAGCGGAAAACCCTGGAAGACGTGCGGGGAGTCCCTGCTGTTGCTGCTGCTGCACTGCAGCACAGACTGGCCTTTTTGCTGGGGCCCCAGGCCCCGCTGCAGCAGCAGCAAGCCAAGCTCAGAGAGGGCCTCACTCCTTACCAGGCCGAGCTCTTCATGTGGCAGAGACAGGTACCAGCAGCAGCAGCAGCAGCAGCAGCAGCAGCAGCAGCAGCAGCAGCAGCTGCAGCAGCAGCAGCAGCTGCTGCTGCTGCAGCAGCAGCAGCTGCTGCTGCGTCTGTGTTTTGTCTCCTTTTTATCTCTTTTTGCCCCCTTTTGTCTCTTTTTTGCCTCTTTTAATTCCTTTTGAACTCTTTTAATCCCTTTTAATCTTTTTAATCTTTTTAATTTCTTTAAATCTTTTTATTTCTTTTTAACTTTTTTATTTCTTTTGTTTTTAGCTGACAGAAATTCGCCGCATTTACAGGGCCCAGTATTTGCAGCGGCTGGCAGAAGTGACTCGCGAGGAGAAGCAAAGACACCAGTTGCTGCTGCAGCAAACCAGGGAGGGTGAGCAGCACTTGCTGCTGCTGCTGCTGCTGCTGCTGCTGCTGCTGCTGCTGGTAGTGCTGCTGAGGTTGCTGCTTTTTCACCGTTGCTGCTGCTGCTTTTGACGCTGCTGTTTGTGCTGCTGCTGCTGTCACCGTTGATCTCTCGCTCTTGCTGCCGCTCGTGCTGCTGCTGTTGCTGCTTGCCTCTTGTTTTTGGTGCTGCTGTTGCTGCTGTTGCTGCTGTTGCTGCTGTTGCTGCTGCTGCGGCTGCAACAAGCTACAACAGAGAGGAGGACAGAAACTGCCTGCAGAAGAAGCTGGGGTTCTCTGAGCTTCCTACCTTAGTGTTGTCTTCATACAACATCTACTGCTGCTGCTGCTGCTGTGGCTGCTGCTGCTGCTGCTGCTGCTGCTGCTGCTGCTGCTGGGGCTCACAGATAAGCGCTTGAGACGCGAGGAGGCCCTCGACCGTTTGCTGGAAAAGACGAAGAGAAGGGCCGTGCTGCTCGAGCGGCAGCAAATAGAACGCAAAGGTGACCCACTTGCTGCTGCTGCTGCTGCTGCACTTGCTGCTGCTGCTGCTGCGTTACATGCTGCTACCTGGCGCGTCTTGTTTCTCTTTGCTGCTGCTGCTGCTGCAGCCTGCACAGCTGCGGGACCACCTTTTTGGCAGTAATCTTTGCTGCTGCAGCACGGGGGTGAGGGGGTTTTGTTGCTCACGAAAAGCAAAGCTCGCCCGTTTGCTGCGGCTAGCTGTGGCTAGCTGTTTGTATCTGTAGCTAGCTGCGGCCATCCGTGGCTAGCTGTGGCTAGCTGTGGCTAGCTGTGGCTAGCTGTGGCTAGCTGTGGCTAGCTGTGGCTAGCTGTGGCTAGCTGCGGGGGTCTGTGGGCGCAGACGAAGAGAAGCTGGCGCTGATAGACGAAAAGCTGGAGCAGCTGACGCAGCAAATTGAGCAGCAAGCTGAAGTCCGGGGGGCCCCCACGGACTTGCTGCTGGTGCAGCTAAGAGACCACCTCGAAGCAGCCAAACAGGCCTACCTGGTAAACCCTAAACCCTAAACCCTAAACCCTAGCAGGCCCGGGGGCCCCCCACGAGCTTGGGGCATCTACAGGGGCCCCAAGAGGAGCTGCATGTGCAGACTGAGAAGCTTCAAAGACACGCTGGCCCCGCTGGGGGCCCCCTGCAGGCTTTGTGGGTACCTTGGGGGGCCCCCGGGGGGCCCCCAGGGGCCCCGGGAGGCCCTTAGGGGCCCCGGAGGGCCCCCCAGAAGTATCCTGGGCCTTGAGGGAAGTTTCTTTGGGTCTATGAGGTCCACAAAGGGTCTTTTTATTTGGATGTTTTATTTTGTTGATTTGATGGAGTTGGGTTTATGCAGGAGGGGCAGTACCTTGAGGAGACGGAGCAAAGAATGCAGCAGCAAGAGCAGCAGCAACAGCAGCAGCGACAGCAGCAGCAGCAGCGACAGCAGCAGCAGCAGGGAGGGGCAGCAGAAGACTCCAAAGAGTAAGACGCGGGGGCCCCACTCAGCACCTCCCCGCCTTGCGTAGCCAGCAGCACTAGGCCAGCAGCAGCAGCAACAACAACGGGAAAAGCGGCAGCAGCAGCAGCAGCAGCCGCAGCAGCAGCAGCAGCAGCAGCAGAAGGGAACTCGAGGCTTAGGAACTGCCGGGAATCGACCGAGGGACCTCAGCGGGGCAGCAACTGCAGCAACTGCAGAGGCAGCTGCGGGCGTTTTAGAGTCTTTGGGGCTTATAAAGCCTTTATATCTTTAGGGGCCCCTTGGGACCCCGTGGATCCTCAAGGGGGCCCCCAGGTGTGTCTAGGGGGCCCCCCGGGGGCCCCTAAGGGGCCCCCGAGGGGCCCCTAGGGGCCCCCCGGGTCACCTCGTGGCAAGGAGGCCTGGGGGCGCCTCGTGTTCTCTCTGAAATTTGAAGGAGATTTGACTTTTAGATTTGCAGTTTGCAGCTGTTGTTGTTGTTGCTGTTGCTGCTGCTGCTGCTGCTGTTGCTGCTGCTGCTGCTGGAGGTGAGGCCTCGTGCTCAGTAGGTCCGTGCGGGGCTGCTGCCGCTGGCGCTGCTGCTGCTGCTGCTGCTGTGGTAGCAATCGCTAGGAATTCTAATGCCCTTTTAGTGAAAATATTTCAAATAATAAATGAATATTTTTGGGTTTTAAGAGACTTCCGGGTTTCTCTTGGCGGCGCCGGATTAAGTAGGGTCTGGCTGCGCAGTGGGAAGGAGTGACCCTGCAGCAACTGCAGCACAGCAGCAGCAGCAAGGCTTGTTGCTGCTGCTGCTGCTTTGTCTTGCTGATTTTAAGGCTTATAAGGCCTTGATGAGCAGCAGCAGCACAAGCCCGCCTTCCTCTGCTGGCTGGGGGCCTCAGCCACACACAACAGCTAACAACACAAGCCCTCAGGGGCCCCAGCCACAGGGGCCCCCCGGAGGCCCCAGCCAGGTACTGCTGCACCTCTAGGGGCCCTACCCAGATACGTGTAGACCCGGGGGCCTCTGCATAGCTTTGAAATCTGTTGCTAGAACCCCCAGCAGCAGCAGCAGCAACAGCAGCAACAGCAGCAGGAACAGCAGGAACAGCAGCAAAAGCAGCAGCAGCAGCAGCAGCAGCGGCAGCTGCTGCTGTTACCGTTCCACGCACACAGAGACGCCCTTGACGAAACTGCAGGGCCTCGAGACTGCCCAAAGGGGGGCCCCAGCAGCAGCAAAGTGACCCTGTGCAGCAGCAGCACAGGGGCAGCAGCAAAGGGGCCCCCAGCTTCTTATCAAAGGCAAAATGCCTTGGATGCGGGGCTCCATCATGGGGCCCAGGAAGAGCAAACGAGCAGCAGCATCTGCTGCAGCTGCTGCAGCACCTGCTGCAGCTGCTGCAGCACCTGCTGCAGCAGCAGATGCTGCGGATGCTCTGCAGCAACATCACCAGCAGGATGACGTCCAGAGAAAAGATAGCAGCCAGCTGACAGCCCCGCAGCAGCAGCAGCAGCAGCAGCAGCAACAGCAGCAGCAAGGACACGAAAATGAAAAGTCCCAGCAGGGGGAGCTTCAGAGGCAGCAGCAGCAACACGAGGCTGAACAGCCCAAGTGCTCTGAGCCCAATCAGGACTTCTGCGAGCAGCAGCAGAACCCGCAGCAGCAACAGCAGCAACAGCAGCAGCAGCAGCAACAAGAACAGCAGCAGCAAGAGCACGCCGCTTCTACGGGTGAGGTCAACTAAGCTGTTGCTCTGCAAATGGCGACCTCCAGCGGATACTTGGAATGCAGAAACTGCTTCTGCTGCTTCTGCTGCTTCTGCTGCTGCTGCTGCTGCTGCTGCTGCTGCTGCTGCTGCTACCACAAGTGGTGGGAGCCGCTAGCTGAATGCCCTTGTTTCTCTGCATCGCTGCTCTGCCTCCTTGTCCTCCCTGCAGGTGCCGCGCGAGCAGCAGAGCCCCCAGCAGCAGCAGCAGCAGCAGCAGACGCAGCAGCAGCAGACGCAGCAGCAGCAGCAGCAGCAGCAGCAGCAGACGCAGCCACGGGCACTGTACCCTTTGGCCCCAAACTCTGGAGGGGCCCCAGCGACCTCCCTTCCTGGATGCAGTATAACTCCGCAGGTTCTTTTCGCCACTCGCCTTCTCAAGAAGCAGCAGGTTAGTACAGCAGGGGGGCCCCACAGGGGGGCCCACAGGCCCGCAGCAGCTCCTGGGGCCCCTGGGGGCCCCTAGGGGCCCCCAGGAGCCCCTGGGGGGCCCCTGGGGGGCCCCTGAGGGCCTCTGGGGGCCCCTGGGGGGCCCCTGGGGGCTTTTGGGGGGCCCTGGGAGGCGGCTTAGTGGCCTGGGTCCAGCTGCGTCTCGCTCACGCTGCGCTGCTGCTGCTGCTGCTGCTGCTGCTGCTGCTGCTGCTGCTGCTGCTGCAGGAGTGTCTCGCGGGGGCTCTGGCGGCGGGACTGGGGCCCCCGAGGAGCCTTTGCTGCAGCGGGGCTGCGCAGTTTGTGTGCGGATTCGGCCAGAGTCCTTTGAAGAGGCGCAGAGGGGGGCCCCCTGCTGCATGCGTTTGGGGGCCCCCGGGGGGGCCCCCGGGGGCCGGCAGGAGCTGCTGGTGGGGGGCCCCCGGGACCAAACCCACCGCTTCTCCTTCGCCCATATTTTCGACCAAAGGGCCTCTCAAGAAGAAGTCTTTGCTGCTGCTTGTAGGCCTTTAATTCGCTGCGCCTTGGAGGGCATTTCGGGGGCTGTTTTGGCTTACGGCCAAACGGGTTCGGGCAAGACTTACACCATGACGGGGCCCCTCGAGGGGCCCCCGGGGGCCCCCGAGGGGCCCCAGGGGCCCCTCGACAGGTCCAGGGGCCCTCCCAGGGGGGCCCCCAGGGGGGCCCCCAGGGGGCCCCCCGAGCCCGGCAGGGCCCGCGGGGGGCCCCTCGACGCCTCCAGGACCCGCACGCAAGCTGGAAGGGCCCCCGAGAGGGGCCCCGGGGCCCCTCTCGGGGGCCCCTCTGGGGCCCGGGGCCCCACAGACCACAGACCCACGCTGGGGGCCCCAGGGGACGAGGGCCTCGCTGCTGCACCTGTGGCTTGCCTGGGCAGCTGCAGCGAGCCCTTTGGGGGGGGCCCCCAGGAGGAGGGGGGCCCCCCAGCGGGTGGGGGGCCCCCGCGGGAAGGGGGGGGCCCCCTAGCTGGGATTTCCATGGATGGTGAGGACCCAGAAGGAGACCCAGTGCTGCGGAAACATTCTCTTCAAGTTACAGACTTAAGAGGGATAATGCCGCGGGCCCTGGAGGAACTCTTCAAGGCCATTGAGGCCAAGACAAAACCCACCCAGGGGGCCCCCCAAGAGGGGGGCCCCCAAGAGGGGGGCCCCCAAGAGGGGGCCCCCCAAGAGGGGGGCCCCCAAGAGGGGGGCCCCCAAGAGGGGGGCCCCGGGGGCCCCGGGGGCCCCCGCCGGGGAGGGGGGGAGGAAGGCGTGGAGGTGCAGCTGACCGCAACTTTGGTGGAAATTTATAATGAAAGAATTCGGGACTTGCTGGACCCTTCGAGGGGCCCCCTGGCAGTGAGGGAGGCCCCCAGTGGCCAGACTGTGGTGGCAGACGCCACGGAGGCCCCCCTGGTCTGCTACGAGCAGGCGATGCAGGTACCCTGCTGCTGCTGCTGCTGCTGCTGCTGCTGCTGCTGCTGCTGCAGGGGTCTCTTTGGACGCTTTTGCTGCTGCCTGCGCATTCCAGGGCCCCAGGTTGTGCCCCTTGGGAGCGCCTTTGCTTGGCTAGCTGCGTGCTCCCGCAGCATGACAGGCCGCTGCTGCTGCACCCCCCGCTGCTGCTGCTGCTGCTGCTGCTGCTGCTGCTGCTGCTGCGGGCAGGTGATCCGGCGCGGGCTGGCGAGCCGCGCGAGCGGGCGCACCACGGAGAACGCCGTGTCTTCCCGCAGCCACTTGCTGCTGTCTTTGACTCTGAAGCAGCGCCGCAGACTCCAGGGCCGCCTGACAGTTTCTTCTTTAAGTCTTGTGGACTTGGCTGGCAGCGAACGCGGAGACCCTTCCAGGGGGGGCCCCCGTCTCCAGGAGACCCAGGCCATCAACAAGTCCCTCCTGGCCCTTGGCAACGTCGTCAACGCTCTCGCCGGGGCCCCCAGGGCCGGGGGCCCCCCGGGGGGCCCCCCGGGGGCCCCCCCGGGGGGCCCCAGGGGGGG